GCACCCCTGAGAACTGTCTGTCCGGGGTGGGGGTCGGGACCCTTTAAACACAGCCCTCGGCTAGCCTGAGACAGCAGCTCCACGCTCTAAGTCCTCCTCTGATGCCCTGCCGGCACTGCTTCCGGCCATCCTTAAGCCCGGGTCAGGGTCCGCTTAATGTGGACATGCTAGTTCGAATTAGCAAAACGCTAATTTGAACTAGTTTTTAGTTCTAGACGCGTTAGTTCGAATTAGCTTAGTTCGAATTAGCGCTGTAGTGTAGACATACCCTCAGAGTCTAGGAAGCCACTTAGAAGTACTGAGACATATTCCATGGAATTAGACCATAGGGAGCCCTGGAGAAATGCACTTGACAGCCAACCATATCCCAACCCAACCCCCACCAGAATCTAACATGCTGCATTTGGCAGACACGGCCGCGAAGGGAGAAGCCCAAATGGACGTTTGAGTAGAGGATCTTGGAATGTTTCCAATATGAGAATTCTGGTGAAAATGGCTAAATTTGCTCCTGAAAAAGAGGTGAAAGTTTTGTCAAACATTTCTCCTTTGGAGATATTTTTTCTTTTGACATTTCAAAACTTGAAGATTGACCAGAGCCCTGGAAATCCACGAATCTCCCTTTCGCATCTGTGCCTCTCTACCATCTACGCATGTGGACATGGATCTCCATGGTTCATTACTGAGGATACGGAGGCAGATACAAATGTTGTATCTCTGCAGGGCTCTAACGGTCTAAAATCAAGATGGTTCTTTGACCAAATAGGCTCCTTTGATTTTTCAAAGAATCTACCCAGAGAGTGATAGATTTCTAACGGAAATTTCCTTTCTATTTTGATTTTAGTTTGTAACAAATGTTTCTCTTCCCATTTTCCTTACAGGGTTACAATTTGCCAGTGGTGAAGCTCCAGTTAAAATAATGATGGTATACATCAAACAAATATTAATCAATCCCCTGCTTTCCCACTGTTCCAATTCATTGTACTTTTTAGTCTCTAGTATCTCCGGTTGCATGAAAGGATGACCTTCCCGACTGTGTTTCGAAAAGCTCCCTTCACTTCTTTGTTCCTCAGAGTGTAAATGATGGGGTTCAACACAGGGATCACAATTGTGTACATGAGGGATATCAGCTGATCGCTCTCGATGGTGGAGTTTAATTTGGGTTTCAGGTAACTCAGAATGGATGTTCCATAGTACAAAGTCACCACCGTGAGGTGGGAGGAGCAGGTGGAGAAGGCTTTACTCCTTCCCGCCACTGATGGCAGCTTGAGGATGGTGGAGATGATGCGGACGTAGGACAGAACGATCAGTAAAAAAGGGCCCAAAACAAACAGCACCACCAGGGCCAAGGTCACGATCATGTTCTTCCATGAGTCAGTGCAGAGCATCTTCTCGACTGGTTCTGCGTCGCAGTAATAATGGTGGATGCGGTGGGATCCACACATGGGCAGGCTGAAGGCCCGTGTGGTCTGAGCTACGGACACCGAGATGCCGATGAGCCACGAAGCCCCCATGAGCCCGGCACACACCTGACCACTCATGATGGTGGTGTAGCGCAACGGGTGGCATATGGCCACGTAGCGGTCGTAGGCCATGGCCGCGAGGAGGCAGCATTCCGTGAGGCCTGCAAGTATGAAGATGTTTATCTGGGCTCTGCAGCCCATGAGGGAGATGGTCTTTTCCTCCACCAGGAGGTGAATCAGCAGCTGAGGGATCACACTGGTGGTGCAGCAGATTTCCGAGACAGACAGGTTCACCAGGAAGAAATACATGGGGGTATGGAGGGAGGGGTTGAGCTTTATCAGCAGAATAATGAGCAGGTTCCCCATCAGGGCGAGCAAGTAGGTGAGAAGAAACACCAGAAACAGAAGGATTTGCAGCTCGCCAAGGTAGGAAAACCCCACCAGGATGAACACACCGGAGAGGGTCCGGTTCTCTCCAGCCTGGCTCTCAGAATTGGTCATCTGTAGGGGTGAGAAAGACCAACACTGCGTCGGAACGAAACGAAACAAGTGGGTGAGAATCACACCATGTGGACTGGGGTCCTTCCCATCGCAGATGCTTGAGATTAAAACCGGCTGCAGTTCTGTGTATAAATATGTAACCAGCCCCAATCCTCATCAGGCAGCAGCTGCTGGTGTCACAATTTCTTTCAGTCTCCATGAAAATTCAAAAAGGGACCTTTCTTTCTTTCTTTCTTTCTTTCTTTCTTTCTTTCTTTCTTTCTTTCTTTCTTTCTTTCTTTCTTTCTTTCTTTCTTTCTTTCTTTCTTTCTTTCTTTCTTTCTTTCTTTCTTTCTTTCTTTCTTTCTTTCTTTCTTTCTTTCTTTCTTTCTTTCTTTCTTTCTTTCTTTCTTTCTTTTCTTTCGAAAGAAGCCTGCAGTCTAGACATAGCCATGGTATTATTACCTCATTTGGGCTATGTCTAGACTGCAGGCTTCTTTCGAAAGAGGCTCTTTCGAAAGCATCTTTCGAAAGATCGCGTCTAGACTGCAGGCGGATCTTTCGAAAGAGCAATCCGCTTTTTCGAAAGAGAGCACCCAGCGAGTCTGGATGCTCTCTTTCGAGGAAGCCCTATTTACATTGAAGAACGCCTTCTTTCGAAAGAGGAACTTTCGAAAGAAGGCGTTCTTCCTCGTGAAACGAGGTTTACCGCCATCGAAAGAAAAGCCGCGTTCTTTCGAAATAATTTCGAAAGAACGCAGCTTGAGTCTGGACGCAGGGGAAGTTTTTTCGGGAAGGGGAACTTTTTTTTTCGGGAAGGGGAACTTTTCCCGAAAAAACCCCTGAGTCTGGACACAGCCTTGGTGCTGTCTACGCAGCTCCAAATTTCAAAATACAGTGCTATTTTGAGCCATCCCTGACTCCTCATACAATGAGGTTTACAGGGATGGCAAAATAACACATCCACTATATTTCAAATAGTTCAAAGGACACGGGGTCACTATTTTGGGATACCTGTGGTATCCTGAAATAATTTAATAATTTGCTGTGTAGACATACCCTCTTTCTTTCTTTCTTTCTTTCTTTCTTTCTTTCTTTCTTTCTTTCTTTCTTTCTTTCTTTCTTTCTTTCTTTCTTTCTTTCTTTCTTTCTTTCTTTCTTTCTTTCTTTCTTTCTTTCTTTCTTTCTTTCTTTCTTTCTTTCTTTCTTTCTTTCTTTCTTTCTTTCTTTCTTTCTTTCTTTCTTTCTTTCTTTCTTTCTTTCTTTCATGGATTGAAAGGTCCTTTCATGGACTGAGAACTGGTTAAAAAACAGGAAACGAAGGGTAGGAATAAATGGTAAATTTTCAGAATGGAGAGGGGTAACAAGTGGTGTCCCCCAACGGTCAGTCCTAAGACCAATCCTATTCAACTTATTCATAAATTATCTAGAGAGGGGTACGCAGTGAGGTAGTAAAGTTTACGGATGATACTAAACTGTTCGAGATAGTCAAGACAGAAGCAGACTGTGAAGAGCTTCAAGAAGATCTCACCAAACTAAGTGATTGGGCAACAAAATGGCAAATGAAGTTTAATGTGGATAAGTGTAAAATAATGCATGTTGGAAAAAACAACCCCAACTATACATATTCTCGTTTTCGAGACTCTATTCTTGAAAGCATTTGTCACCCAGCTTGGTATCATCTGCAAAATGAATAAGTGCACCTTCTATGCCAATATCGAAATCATTGATATCAATATAGGCAAAATCAATTTTTCAGAAGGGATTGTATTTGTTGGCTAAAATTTGGATCGGCCCTAAATAAGAGGAGATATTTGCTTACCACTAGGAATGAGATGTATGCAGCTTCTTCTCTCTTACACTTGAGTGATATTATCAGAGCTCTTCACGGCGTCTAGTCACTGCGTTTGTAAACAGGAGAATATGAAAACTATTAATGAGCCAGATATTATGTGGGGAGAGGGTTGAGATAAATTCAGCGGAAAGAGCCCACAGTGTAACTCTCGGGCCACAGGAGCAGAGAGTGTGCCATAATGTGGTGCAGGGGAGCAGATCCTCTTACTACAGAAGATCAGACTGAACCCACCCAGCGGTCGGTCTGCATCCACCCCCAGCGACAAACCCTTCTTGAGAATCAACATTTCACTCCCGTTCAGTGGCTCGTGCGGGCGGTTGGGGACCAGAGGAGGGTGAAGATAAGAGAAGGAAAAACCAACCAACAACCTCACAGACACAACCAAACACAGACACTGAATGGACTCATGGCAGGGTGATGGGCGTGTTGGATACATCTCTGGCACTCTGACGGGCACTATGGAAACACGGGACAAGGACGTTACCTAGTATCACTGGCGTAAAAGCGCGGGAGTCAAGCTCAGGACCCAACCCGGGATTCGTAAATGAGTGGATTTCAGACAGAGAGATTCAGAGAGTTGCAGATAGATAGACTGCTGGGGGGGGGAGGGAAGAGGGTGCGGATTGGACAAAATTAGATAGATAGATAGATAGATAGATAGATAGATAGATAGATAGATAGATAGATAGATAGATAGATAGATAGATAGATAGATAGATAGATAGATAGATAGATAGATAGATAGATAGATAGATAGATAGATAGATAGATAGATAGATAGATAGATAGATAGATAGATAGATAGATAGATAGATAGATAGATAGATAGATAGATAGATAGATAGATAGATAGATAGATAGATAGATAGATAGATAGATAGATAGATAGATAGATAGATAGAGGGGGTGTGTGGGGATAGATAGATAGATAGATAGATAGATAGATAGATAGATAGATAGATAGATAGATAGATAGATAGATAGATAGATAGATAGATAGATAGATAGATAGATAGATAGATAGATAGATAGATAGATAGATAGATAGATAGATAGATAGATAGATAGATAGATAGATAGATAGATAGATAGATAGATAGATAGATAGATAGATAGATAGATAGATAGATAGATAGATAGATAGATAGATAGATAGATAGATAGATAGATAGATAGATAGATAGATAGATAGATAGATAGATAGATAGATAGATAGATAGATAGATAGATAGATAGATAGATAGATAGATAGATAGATAGATAGATAGATAGATAGATAGATAGATAGATAGATAGATAGATAGATAGATAGATAGATAGATAGATAGATAGATAGATAGATAGATAGATAGATAGATAGATAGATAGATAGATAGATAGATAGATAGATAGATAGATAGATAGATAGATAGATAGATAGATAGATAGATAGATAGATAGATAGATAGATAGATAGATAGATAGATAGATAGATAGATAGATAGATAGATAGATAGATAGATAGATAGATAGATAGATAGATAGATAGATAGATAGATGTGAACACACACACACACCCATGGGGTCAGACACAAAACCAGGCTCTCTATGCCTGTACATAATATACAACTGAAGAATTCAGGGCTATGTTTTGCTCTAAGTGCAGATCGGGACACAACACCCATGGCCTTGAGTGGGAGAACGGTTGGGGGATTTTTCACCTACCTTGTGTAAGAAGCACAGAGCCATCTCCTCGGTGCAGAGTCTGCACAGTGTGCAAGGAATCAGAGGGGTTTTTATTTCATTCGCTGGCTCCTGGGACCAAGCCCCGGGAGGAAATTTCACATCTGATTCCTCCGGGGAAGCACGACCCGGCCTCTCACAGCACCTAATGGCTTGTGACTGCGAATTCAGTGAGCTACTGCCCCTGTTCTCTTGTCACTTTCCTGCTCAGCTGTTCTTGTCTGCTGGGCTTTTCCTAACAAGAAGAGAGCAGGGGCTGAAAATAGGCAGTCCCTGGAGCAGGTATGTAACTTTGGCACATCACAGACCCCCAGAAGCGTGATGCCCATTGGATCCCAGCACTCCTCATTCCCAACATCCCCCTTGTGCGTGGTGAGCAAGACCCAGGAAGTCGTTCTTCCGCTCTACTTTGCACCGATTCAGCTACAGCTGGAGGATTGTGTCCAGTTCTGGGCACCACATTGCAGGAAAGAGGTGGAGAGACTGGAGAAGGTCCAGAGGAGAGCAACAAAAAGGATGAAAGGTCTAGAGAACATGAGCTAGGACGGAAGGCAGAAAGAATTGGGCTTGTTTAGTTTGGAAAGGAGAAGACCGAGAGGGGACGCGATCGCGGTTTTCAAGAATCTAAAAGGATGTCACAAGGAGGAGGGAGAAAAATCATTCTCCTTGCCTGTTATGCGTAAACGAAGCACACAAGATCTTTTATAGGGGAAAAGGCAGTACGCCGCATTGATTGAGACTACAACAGTAGCACATGCTTTTCAATCACTCATACACACAAACAACATACACACACAAAGTCTCACCAGACGATGTCAGAGTTACCAGTCCGGAGTCTGGATCAATCTAGTGGCCAGCTAGATTAAACACAGGAGGGAGCCTTTGTCAGTCGATCGATCCGATGCTCCTCTGGATTTGTTGGCAAGATGAACCTAAAGTTCCATAGCAAAGCACCCTGCTTTTAGAATCCTTTTTTCCATTGGGCTACATCTACACTGGCATGATTTTCCGGAAATGCTTTTAATGGAAAAGTTTTCCATTAAAAGCATCTTCGGAAAAATGCGTCTAGATTGGCAGGACACTTTTCCGCAAAAGCACTTTTTGCAGAAAAGCATCCAGGGCCAATCTAGACACGCTTTTCCGCAAAAAAGCCCCGATCGCCATTTTCGCCATTGGGGCTTTTTTGCGGAAAAGAAAGCTCTGCGGTCTACACTGGCCCTTTTGCGCAAAAGCTTTTCGGGAAAAGACTTTTGCCCGAACGAGAGCAGCATCGTATTTCCACAAGAACACTGACAATCTTACATGAGCGCGTCAGTGCTTTTGCGGAAATTCAAGCGGCCAGTGTAGACAGCTGGCAAGTTTTTCTGGAAAAGTGGCTGATTTTCCGGAAAAACTGGCCAGTCTACGCACAGCCTTGATGTCTATGGATTTCGCTTTCTCAGCC